CTACATATACAAAAATTAGCTGGGCATGGTGGTGCACACCTGTAGTCCCAGCTACTCAGGAGGCTGAGGCAGGACAATCGCTTGAATCCAAGAGGCGGTGGTTGCAGTGAGCCGAGATCAGGCCACTGCACTCCAGCCTGGCGACAAAGTGAGTCTCTGTCTTAGAAAAATAAAAAAAATTCTGAATTGAGTCATCATTCCAATGATTACAACTTGCCAAAATAGCACTGATATGTTTGTGTGTTTAGAGACAGGCTCTCACCTTGACACCCAGGCTGGAGTGCAATGGTATGATCACGGCGCTTCAACCTTAGAGGCAAAAGTGATCCTCCCACCTCAGCCTCCTGAATAACTGGGACTATAGGTGTGTGCCACTATGCCCAGCTAAGTTTTTATTTTTTGTAGAGATGGGGTCTCATTGTGCTGTCCAGGCTGGTCTCGAACTCCTGGGCTCAAGCAATCCTCCTGCTTCAGCCTCTGTTGGAATTACAGCCGTGAGCCACCATGCCTGGTGAAGGTACCTTTCAATAGCTTTCAATGTCTCACTTGGATTAGGAGCCACTGCTCTGCCCTGGGTGGTGGTAGTGGTGGGATCTTGGCCTCTGTCACCCCTCCATTGGTTGGCCTGAGGCAATGGCTTCCCAGGGTGCTGGGGCTGACCTCTTGGAGGTAGATGGTCCCCAGGGAGGTCCAGGTGACATTGGCTTAGCTGCTTTGTTACTTTGGATGGGTGGTGGGAAGGGAGGTGCCTCCCTGCATTTTCTCCACATGGGCTCAGTAATCAATCCCCAGTCCCCACATTTCCCTGAGCACCTGCTGTCCATCTCCCACTTGCTCAGTGGCCAAATACTCCATCAGTTCAGGTTCTTTGTTTCCAAGCAACAGAAGCTGCCCCTGACTTGGGCTTTTGTAGGACTTGTTAGAGGAACTCAGGGTGACTCTCAAAAATGTGAAAATGAAGACTGACCACGTCTCAGGACGAGCAGCGTCCCTGGGGGTGTCGTGTAGGACTCAGTGGCAGGAGTTGGGGCCCTGTTGCTGGGGCATTGCCCACAGGAGGATCAGGTTTGGCAGCTTCCGATACCTGCACGCTTGGTTCAACTTCAAGTTTGCAGAGAGAGGATGCGATCGGCTCAACGGTTGACCTTGGATCAAGGAGCCATGGGCTGGGGGTCATTGTGCCTGGGTCTCCCCGCCCCTAGTTTGTGACTCTAATTACTTGGATAACATTTTGTTCCCTTAAAAGTGTGGGTATTAGCCGGGCACGGTGAATCATGCCTGTAATCCCAGCACTTTGGGAAGCTGAGTTGGTGGATCACCTGAGGTCAGGAGTTCAGGACCAGCCTGGCCAACATGGCAAAACCCCACCTCTACTAAAAATACCAAAATTAGTTGGGTGTGGTAGTGGGCACCTGTGGTCCCAGCTACTTGGGAGGCTGAGGCAGAGGAATCACTTGAACCGCAGGAGGTAGAGGTTGCAGTGAGCTGAGAGCGTACCAGTGCACTCCAGCCTTGGGGAAGAAGCCATACTCTGTCTCAAAACAAAACAAAACAAAACGGGGCTAACACCGTTTTCGGCCTTAGCCCACCTGTACCCAGGTGAACAAACAGCCATGTTGCTCACACAAAGCTTGTTTTGAGGGGGGTTTCTTCATTCAACGCACACGTTTTAAAATTTGGTGCCAAAAATAATAAAATAGAAAAAGAAAAAAAAAGTGTGGGTGTTTCCTGATTTGTCATTTGATCATTTATCTCAAAGTTTGCCACTGAAGTCCATGGAGCATGGGAAGACAGCAGCGGGGTAAAGGGCCTTCAGACCTTCACAGCGAGCGCTCTGGGTGGCCCCCACAATTGCTCCGTCCCCCTCTACTACGTAATGATCCTGACATTGTTTTGTGCCTCATTCCTCCTATTTTATTTTATTTTTTGAGACTGAGTCTCACTCTGCCACTCAGGCTGGAGTGCAGTGGCACAATCTCTGCTCACTGCAACCTCTGCCTCCCAGATTCAAGCAATTCTCCTGCCTCATCCTCCTGAGTATCTGGGATTATAGGCGCATTCGACTATGCCCAACTAATTTTTTTTTTTTTTCCTGAGACAGAGTCTTGCTCTTTTGCCCAGGCAGGGGCACAGTGGCATCTCGGCTCACTGCAAACTCCACCCCCCCGGGTTCAAGTGATTCTCCTGCATCAGCCTCCCGAGTAGCTGGGGTTACAGGAGCCCACCACTATGCGTGGCTAATTTTTGTATTTTTAGTAGAGATGGGGTCTCATCATATGGGCCAGGCTGATCTCAAACTCCTGACCTTGTGATCTGCCTGTCTCGGCCCCTCGAAGTGCCAGGATTACAGGTGTAAGCCACTGCACCCGGCCATGCCTGACTAATTTTTTATATTTTGAGTAGAGACAGGGTTTCACCGTGTTAGCCAGGATGGTCTCGATCTCTGACCTGCCCATCTTGGCCTTCCAAGGTGTTGGGATTACAGGCATGAGCTACTGTGCCTGGCCCATTCCTCCTCTTTTAAAAGAGTTAACAATTTTTTCCTTTTCCAGTTTTTATTTTTGAGACAGGGTCTGGCTCTGTTGCCTGGGAAGAGTGCAGTGGCTCAATCTTGGCTCACTACAACCTCCGACTTCTGGGCTCAAGCTATTCTCCCACATCAGCCTCTCAAGTAGCTGGAACTACAGGCGTGCGCCACCACACAAACATTTTTAAACAAAACAACATATATTTCAAATCAACAAAATTTAGTTAGCATAATTTATAGTATCTTTTAAAAAATTCTCACACATTTACAGGTGACATTTATAGTATCTTAAGATAATTAGCCCTTGGGCTGGGCATGGTGACTCATGCCTGTAATCCCAGCACTTTGGGAGGCTGAGGCAATGGATCTCCTGAGGTCAGGGGATCAAGACCAGCCTGGTCAACATGGCAAAACCCCAACTCTACTAAAAATATAAAAATTAGCTAGGCGTGGTGGCACGTGCCTGTAGTCCCAACTACTCAGGAGGCAGGGGCAGGAGAACTGCTTGAAGCCGGAGGCAGAGGTTGCAGTGAGCCTACATTGTGCCACTGCACTCCAGCCTGGGTGACAAAGAACGAAAGACTCCATCTCAAAAAAAAAAAAAAAAGAAAAAAGAAAGATAATTTGCCCTTGAGTGATAACTTCCTTTTCAGTTCTTTAAGTTCTGCAAAACATAGCTAGAAAATTTACTGCTGTGGGCTGGGCCTAGTGGCTTATGCTGTAACCCCAGCACTTTGGGAGGCCAAGGTGGGTGGGTTACTTGAGGTCAAGAGTTTGAGACCAGTCTGGCCAATATGGTGAAACTCCATCTCTACTAAAAATACAAAAATTAGCAGGGCGCGGTGGTGGGCACCTATAATCCCAGCTACTCAGGAAGCTGAAGCAGGAGAATGGCTTGGCCCAGGAGGTGGAGGTTGCAAGGAGAAAAGATGGCACCACTGCCCTCCAGCCTGGACAACAGAGGGAGGCTCTGTCTTAAAAAAAAAAAAAAGAAAGAAAGAAAAGAAGAGAAAGAAAAAAAAAGAAAGAAAATTTATTGCTGTGGACAATGAAGACTGCTTAAATCAAAAGGGCAGGAAGGACCTGTGACTTTTCCTTTGGATTAGTTGCCGTAACACTGGCCTCCAGGCAGCTCAGGGAGTTTCACATTTTCTTTAGATGTCCTTAGATGCCAGAACTCTTGCAGGACCACTTTGAAGCTTCATGTAGTAAATGCTGCCATTTTGTCAGCACCAATATGGCTCTTGGGTCCACTACTTCAT